AAGAGTATTGAGCCCGAAATTGGATATGACCTACTCTCCATTCATATCGTCTTATTCGCAATAGAGTTGTCACCTCGAGTTAGTTACTTCTCGGATTCAAGCTGCCATCGCCTATAAGAAAACGCTTCTCCTCTCATTCGCAATCACCGCAGTCAGTCCATCTCCATCCATACAGACATTCTTCTTGATAGCTGAGTGGAGGTAAATCCAGGTTGGCGGACTGAATGAGCCGTAGACGACACACAGTCTCTCCTGCCTGCCAAACTATGTGTAACTGCTAACAAGTCAAACCACCGAGGCAAGTTTGTCCTAGAACGGAGCGGGTTCATTAATGAATAATTAGGAGGGCACGTGGCGGTAATAAAGGTGCGGGTGGAGGATTCGCACCGAGCGGAAGAAGCGGATTTACATTATGCGTGTCCTCCTCTCCCACCACCTGCGTTGACTTTTCTCTCCCAACTTTCATCAACGGCAGCAGAATAACCCACCCACGAACATTTTCGCCAACCAGAGAGCCTTCATGATGCGTCTTTTTTTCCCTTTTATTACCATCCAATATGACTCTATATGGGCTTTAGTGCAGCACTTTACAGTCTATTACGCACCGTCTATACACTGCGAAAACCATTGAGCTATGCGAATTTTCCAACTTTCATCCATGTTTATGTACCTTAAAATTTGGCAGATTTGCTTTAGAAATCTCTTTGTTGTTAAGGCTAGAGTTTAATGCAATTTTCACGGTGAATGCTCGCATGTATTCAACAACAAGGTTGTGCCATCTGGGCTGAGGGAAAACTACGGGAGCTGGAGAACCATCCAAATAACTGGAGCAGACTGAATGAAACCTAGAAAGACCTGGATTTTGCACTGTGCACACACGCATGATGCGTGGAATGCAGGAGAGAGAGAAAGTAAGTCAACGAAAGCAATATACTCTCGGCGAGAAAGGTCGATCCAACAAAGAGCCAAGTTGCGTACGAGGAGATAGTCAAAAGAACGGCATAAACTAAAACCCACCCGCACTTCACGTACCAAAAGCCGGGTAGTAGTAGGTCGTACATTAGACTATTATATCCCAGTCGGGAGGAAGGCAGGGAGCAATGCTGAGTTCCTTTCTGACTCCAAAACCCATTCAAACCTCGTCTTTTATGTGTTTACAAAAGTATGCGGATTGATATTGGTCCATACTTTTTCTGCTCTGATATCCACCTTCAAGTCAGAATCCGTCAGTCGTGCTTTATGATACGCATAAATAGTAGTTGCTTGTAGTCTAGTCGTAAAGTGTGTGAGAAAGGCTGCGAGACTGTCGAAATGGAAATTTTGTCCCTAATGCTAACATGGATGGATCAATATCGCCTCGCTTAAACATTTCCAGAGGTACATATACAAATGTAGAAGACTAACTGTTTAGACAATGCAATGTTCCTTCATCACGACCATTATTATTTCAGATAAAAAAATGAGGAGCAGACCAATAGGTGGATGAGCAGCGGGCAGGAAGACGTTCACAGAAATGAGATGAAGACGATAGAAACAAATCTTGTTGGGGCACCATTGATACAAAATCCGTGCCTGTTATTAGGATTTGATAGGTAGTTGTATAGAGTGGACCCCTACGGAGTGACGTTGGAAGAAAAACGCTTCTTCTGCTTTTGTCATATTTAGATACTACTTATTAGTATTATTTATTCTTCCCATGCTGCGCTATTCTCCTATTAGTCCGTCCCCCTCTTTCTCCCAAGGTGTACATTCACATGACTCGTTAATATTCCTTTACGTAAGGAAGGGTGTCATCTAATGAACCCAATCACCACGTTATTCTCTCCTCCACTAAGAAAACATACTGATTCGTTTCTTGATACATAAATTCGTGCGAGGGGTTCGACCTGGTCTCATCTTACTCGCTTTCACCATAAGCTGGGTGAAAGTCATGGAGATGGAGAAAATCTTATTATGTATATGCAAGCAAATTGTCAGATGATGTTATTCTCACGTTCATCAGTATCTATGACCTACCGAGATTTGTACGCATAAAACTGTCACCTGCAGAAAGTGGGAAGTTAGTAGTTAGACTATTGCGCAAAAGTTTATATGACTCTTTGTGTGTTTTACCTGTTTACTGCTCAGCTCCCAATATATTTGTCTGCTATGGGACACAGTTGTACATATTACGTGATCTGAGATTTACTGCGGGTAAGGTAACTGACTGAATATGCTTAGGGAAATTTATGAGAGTTTTTTTACTCAAGGTATTTGCACGCGGTGAACCTGCGTGGGTTGTTTTTTGAAGGCCATCGTAAAAATGTGTTATTGAATTTAGATAAGCTGTAAATGGCTCAGAGGTACGTATGCATTCTCCTCTGATTGGAAAGCCTAATGCCACCCTTCACGGGGTTCTGAGTATGGGAGATAAATCTCCCCAGCATCTGGTAAGAACTAGATCTTAGGTATTATAAGGAATGGATTAATTTGCGCTAATTAACTCCACGACTTGGTCATGACGCACTTGAAGTCTGGTCGAATTATGGTAAAAAATATTAAATATATGATAAACAGGAATTATGGGACAATTACATCGTTCTCATCATAATTAATCATGGAAAAAACCATGTACATACGTTCGTATAACTGTATTCTACGATGCCAGACATGTTACGAAATAAAAATGGGGATATTAAGTAGCTCATTAATTTTATGATAAAATTTTGTTTTTTACCAGGTTAAGCTATTTATTAAGCCAACTGAAAGTTCATGGCTAGCAAAACATTATTGATTTTATTTGATTGACATAGTGCTGTGGGGATGGATATTAATCAAATATCTGGGACAAGAACTGTTAGGTGACGAATTTCTACGCATGAGAGGAAAACGTCACTCCGACCCATCACAAATTTTGCAGATCGAGAAGGTTAATATCGCCCAGAAGAAGAGGAGACATGGATAAATGGCATACGGACAGATACGTAATGATGGAATTCAACAACAACCAGTTTTAAACTGAAAGTCCATTCCACATTGTCGCACCACATTCTTAACGCCTTTAGTTTTGGGTGTGCAACTCACTATCACCTCATCACCGCCCAAAATGTCACTGCTATATTTCTTACATAATAATCAATCCGCAAGTCGCAGGAAGGTTTGAAAAATATTAAAATCATGTGTAAATTATTGCTTAAAACTTAACAATTTCAAGCATTTCCTCTTCCTCAACAAGAGTCTTAAGAAATTGCCAGACCTATTTATTTCAAACCTGAGTTCTTCAAGTCGCTTAATATGGCGGACCGGCTCTTACTCGGCACGAATGTAAGTGACTTTATCTGTTTGTCGATCATTTTGCCTTGACAATTGACACCTTGTGCTTAGAATTCTTGGTATGTGTCTCCTGATGATATTTCTTCATAGCCCGTGCAACCCTGCAGTATCAACTTGGAAACTGCAGGAGTTGCTAAACGTCCAATGATATGAATCATTACGAAATGACGAGAAATGCAAATTATAAAATTGTTGACACCTGTCAAACAGCCACCATTTGCAATTTGTCTCTGCACCAAAAAAGTCCAGGTTATTGAATACCTCGCTCTACGACCAGCCCATCAGCTACTGCATAATGTTCAAGTCATTAATTTAAGCTTCGACCTTTAAACAAATATGATGCAGAGATCACGAATGGTGATTCACCATTAAATGCAAAATATTTAACCTGCATGTGAACCTAACCTCCTCTACAAACACATAGAATAATAAATAACAACACAAAATATTACTTTGCTTATTGAAAATTGCGTCAACGAAACTACGTGTTAACTCAATTCATTTACGACTCAATAATAACTTTAGTTGCCATATCACAATAACACTAATTGTATTCAAGGTGGCAGTTAAGCCCATATTTTTACGAATTAATACAGATTCAATTATAAACAATGCAATGCATCTTGTGGCAGCGCATCTCTTCTTCTGGGTAGTCCTTAATAACAATGCATAATTAGTTGTTGTGCAGATTCATGATTACTAATCAGAGTATCTCTTCTCTCGCAGGCGATATTTTATGCCCAAAACTGGTGGTGCTACTTAATGGCATTTCAATAGAGTAGAGAAAAGCACGTACGTTATGTAGTGCTGAATAATAATAATTAAGCCATACTACTCATATTGCCGTCAGATTTTGCCCTCAGATTTACGTATACATGTAGCCAATCACCATTATTATATGAATAAAAGTATTTATGTGCTGCGAATGTGTTGCCGTCTCAAAATGGAGATTGAATGTATGTATTATTCAGAATTTGGAAGAATAAAAAGTTTATGTTCTCAGAGACGAGACAATTTTTCTTGTATAATATAAACCTAAATTATTTAATCAACTCAGCCAAACACCCGCCCACTCTCTGCCGTATGAACATGTCGACACCGCAGTCAATCTAAATCGCCTTGTACGTATGTACATATGTATGTCTGGTCAGGTGGTGAAGTTGGATTTGGATTTAATTACCACCATCATGGACCAAACCAAGTTTTGCTGAAAAGGCAAATCCTCACCGGTAACGTGGCCTGTTTTGTTCGTTCAAGGGAAGAATGTATGTAAAAGACAATTGACGACAACAACCACTGCATGAAAGAGATGAGAAAGAAGTAGAAATACATCATCAACCATCATCATTTTCCACAGTCGTCCTTATCGACATTTGTTTGAAACTCCATTTATGGAGCGTGTCCTGCTGTAAACTTTGAGACGTATGTAAACCGTTCCCGTAGTTTGATTTGAAGTGAACTCCTCGCAAAAGCCCAATAGATAAACAGATCGGCATGAAATTCTCATTCAATAATTACTGACTCTGCTCTCGTCACTTCAGATCAAGCTCTTAATTTCATTTCTTTCCAAAAGCAAGTGCCGAACAATGGAATGAAAATTAAACTACGCAACCGCACCACCTCTAACAAAACATTCCCAAAAGCAATGTTAATATTTACGACAACACCAACCAAACCAACCAACTCACCAACAACATCCGTTTCTGCAAACAATAATTGTGAGTAGAGATGTCCGTACACAGCTGCAAGTGACCCAAATTAGTCTTTGTTTCGGGATTTTGAATCGTCGTCGTATAGCTTATGCCTTCTTGTATGCAGCTTCCTTCCTCCTTCGAGTCAATTCTTCTTGATTGGTTCGCTGTTGTTGTTGTGGAATCGTTAATTGTTATTATGTTGAAGTGAATTCATGCGGAAAGACCAGTTCTGGTGTTTAAAGTCTTGTAATATTTTCCTGTCCCAACATGAAAGTTCTTGTTCACTGCTTGGTTCGGTTGAATGGTTTCTCAATGGATACCACGACGCCAAGTATGACACAGATTTAGGGTTTTTCTTCTCGCTTACGGAATAATATGAACCGGATGGATCCAGCCAAAAACTTTGCCTCTCCTTCTAGAACAGACGATCTTTAAGTTATTAATTGTGAAACTAATTGGAACTGGTCCGGTACGTCGGGCAGAGGAGACAGAGCGTCTGTCTCAAAGTCTTCAAAGTTTCAGTTTTCGCTGTCTCAACTCTCCAGCAGTCTTCTCTTCCTTCTTCTTCTTCTTGACTTTTAATATGGTGGCCGAGTCAGACGGAGATAATATTAAATCATGAATAACCAACCCCCGTATAATCATATACTATGCAGACGTTGACTCTCTAAGTAGTTCGTCTTCATGGGGTGACTTGACACGGGTGAGACTTTTGTCTCTTATGCTTCTTTCTCCAGCGAAAGTCGACGAGATTTCCCCCGACGACCAAGAAAAGATCGACAGTCTTGTTAAACTTTAACGAATGTTTAATTCACAACTTCTTGTTCTTTTCACAGAGCAACGTGTCGTGTTTCCACCATTTCTCATCTAAACGAGAGGAACAATGGCTTAAATAAAACAATGCCGCAAGGAATTATTATTGTGGCGAATAGGTTAAGATGGATGGTTGTAAATTTCAAAATGGGGAAGTTGAGACTGGATTTGTCAATGGGGATGAGACGATGAGACTCGGAAAGAGAGAGAGAGATGAGTGTGTGAGGTGCAGCCTCACAGCAACGAATAAACTAAATTCTCTCGACTCGCACCCATATATATTTTTGCAGTTGGAAGCAAATGGAACAGAGACGCGAACTGACTTTGCCTGTTTTCCTGAGGAGACTAGTTTGGCGAGCTGTATAAAGAAGAAGAAGGCTTTGGTGGAATCGGATGCGGTGCAAAGAAATAAAACGGAATACGTTCAAGATTTCTTAGTTCTTCGGTGGGATGGTTAATAGCAAAGTTCCAGTTTCTACTATCCATCAAATGGGAATTGGTTCTGAATTTGATTGCGGTTAGGGCTAAGTTTAGGGCTGGAAAAAGTAAAATTATGCGACATTTAAATAAGTTTAACGTGAGATTGACAAGCGACCAAAGGATTTCTAATATTATTTTAGTCGTATTATCCTTGTTGATGACTATAATTAAGAACTTATGAGACAGAATTATTCCAAATTGCCCAATCCCTTTCATTCCTTGGCTCATATTCTTCTGAAGGGGTTAGTGATGCGCCAAGTTTCCGATAATTTTCTGACTTCTTGAAGCGAATCAATTTAATGGAAATAAGCATGGCTACTGGTCGGTGAACTAAGCTAGTCACTGGTACAATGCATGCACTGCTGTTTTTTGTTGTACAATTCTAGAAACTGTGAAATGGAGAAGATGAGAAATAATCCTCAATCGAATCCATGGTTGAAAATTTGCATAATTTGAGCCACTTCAGAGTAGCAATACCTGGAATACTTTGAGGTCAAATTTGCAAGGTTATGATTCTATAATAAGGATTCGATACATCTAGAAAAAACTGACAGAGATTCACAGTGAAACTTCTTGTTGTAAAAGTTGATGACGAGTTTGCATAAATAATTTGCCTCGTATGTACCGACAAGCAGTGAAATATGTATGCCTAATAACATAAATTGTGACTTAGCACTTTGAGAATGTATGAATACGAATGTAGTCAATTTTCCAAGTGTTTGCATATATACAATCTACCATTTTTAGATATTTAAAAATATTTATCCTTTAGCTATTAATGCACTGTATGCAATGAAGTAAACTCAAAATTGTGTATTTCTATCGGTAGATACTGAAAGGTCCCGTTTGCACAGAAACTTTATCAAAAATTAAGAATATGCGTGTTTATTACTCACGTCATCATCACTTCGTCGGCCAATTCGAAAATTCATTGGCTTAAAAAAATTGTCGCCAAAACAAAAATTCTGACCAATCAAAAAATCGAGTTGGCCGAGTTAAGTGATGACGTGAATCATAAACACGCCTAATGGCGATGCAAATTAGATACACATAATCGATCACTTCGATTCTGCTTGTTAATCAATACTGCTCATGATTTATGAACAATTGTATTAATAGAAATAACTTGAGGTACTAGTGATTGTAATTTTTGTTAAAACTGAATATTAAAAAAAACTATTCATTTCAGCATTCAAATTATCTAAAGTTCTAATAGGAAACTTTCAAGTAATGATGGAACGAATACATCAATCCACTAAAAAGTACAAACTCAAACGAAAATAAAGTAATTTCCATTATTCTCTGAAGATACACGTATACGCTACCATATTCAATCACCATTGATATTTCGCAAAGGCACTTTCTTCACAACTAAACCAATCATCCGTATGAGAGTCGAAACTTATTATAATACATGATTTGTAAACATGTTGTTATCATCATGAAGGTTGCTAGGTTTTATCTGTTACAAAGTCCATTCCTTAAAAATATTCAAGTTCGTCATCCACTAAACGAAGCTTGAACTTATTGCGCACAATAATGAAACGACACACTCAGATTTGCTTTCTTCCTTAAAATTACCATATGGCAACAGAATATTTTACACATTTATTTCAAAATCCCAAAAACACTTGCTCCCTTCCCTGCCTGTCTGCATCACGCTGGAAGAAAGTAAATGCAGTCTTAAAAATGTATGTAAATTGGAGAAAGCTACGACACGAGTCGCGAAGCCTTCTCGGTTTCTTTGCGTAAATTGGTTGCATTATACATCAAGTATCAACACTTAGTTTGACTTTTGACTGCTACGTGAGTAAGACTAACAATCCAGCCTGACTCAGCTTTAAGGATCATCATCATAACGTAAGATCACGCACTGAATCATAAACTAGTTGGGATGTCCCCCCAAGGCAAGCTTTGCATGTTTCATGTCAGGTCGTGTAAACTCTAAAGATAAGCCCAGCATATTATGTTAGATGGCAATGTTGAACCTGCTTTTACAGCCTGCACTTGATCCCTCTCAATACTTTCGACCTGAGCAAAATTGCAGGAGTAACATATTTTTTAATAAAGTTCAACTCAACGTGTTTCTGATTTGTGGTTTATTTTAGATTTTGAGCGTCCCTTGACAGTTTAGAGGAGTGAGTCGTGTGGAAATTGACAAACTAATCCTTACCCCCTCAAGCACCCACGCTTAGTTGTAGCTCCCTATTCAATCAATTCAGTATGAAAAGCGCATTGTACTGCTGCATTACGTGGAGTGACGCCAACGCAAGTATTTCTTTCTTTCAAGAAGAGAAAGTCCAAGTAAGACTTTGGAATGAAGTATGAGCATTAGCTGATGCTGACTGAGTAGATTATCTCGCATTTAACTCATTCACCACATTTCTTTTCAATTCGACATCCAAGGTTAGCTGCTCGTCATCCCCGCGGTTCACCCGTTGGAATCTCCTTGGATGGATTCCGACCGACTTTGGGAGAAACTTTCACTTTCATAGTGCGAGGAGTTTTAAAGGAATGTCCTCTTATCAACATCCTCGTTTAATTAATTAAATATGCCTTACACGAAATGCGTATACATATTATCGCTATTTATGGTCAGGGTCAAATTCCAAAAACCTCAGCAGAATTTTTTTGGCCTCATCGTAAGTAATCACTTCTATGTCAGATTCCATAACCCTTTCATGCCAAAGATCAAGTCATACTTAAGGATTAACAAGTAGACGTCATAAAAGGCTGGGTTAACAAGTCTGAATTAGGTGATTAGATTGGTCTAATTATTTTTTTGTGTAATGCGGAAATATTTAATGGTGCGAAATCATAGAAATGTTACCTAACTAATGAATATTACGTAATGTGTGTTAAGATTACTAAAAGATGTTTCAAAAAGATGAGCACGTATCCCGAATCAACTTTGAGCATATTTGTATGTGTATTATATACGCCCACGTGGGTAGTATTCCCTTCATTTACTAGGCATAAGTCTGTAAAAATTGGCATTTGGAACTAAGATAAGCCTAAAATAAAAGCCTTGGATCTACGATTACAAGTGGTAACCTTGAACCTTGATTTCACGTTTTATCACAAAATATTTTTCTCACGTTGACGTAAGTAAAGTAATGGAAATGATCCCTATCTGATTACATTTCCTAAAAAAACACTGGTCAAGTCACCATCTACGTGTACACCACGAGCGATATTTTCAAATGTCCATATAAGATTAAGTTACGATCTTGGTTAAAGTTTAGTCATGCTAAAAGCACAAATGGGAAAACTCTGATCGCCATTGTCTTCATCTCTACTACAAGTAAATACGCGGAACAGGACAAAGAGGATTCTCAGTGATGCAGTGCACTTCAAAATTTAACGGTTCTCCATCAGCTCCCATTACTATGTAATGTAGGAAAGATAACTTAACTGGACATCGTTCTGGTTGATTAATGACTTTCAAAAGGTCACAGTAAATTAATGGTATAAAGGATAACGTCAAAGAGGAAAGCGTCAGCAAACAAAAAAAATTATTTGAAATGATTCAGATTGGTTTGCATTATGTTGGAACAGTTGAACTCGAGATGAATTCGAATGTATGTCTACATAACAATTAATTCAAGTAGAGGATGTAACACTACGGAAGTAATCAGCTCGTTTGAACCACAGAATTCCGGTCTAATGAAAGAAAAAATGTTTCATGCGTTCAAAATTGCATGCATGATGCTCTTTCTTGTAAAGGCCGTGTTGCCTGCATGATTCGTTATTTTTTCTTATTTGACTAGGTTGCTGAGCTCTATTGTACTTTGGCCAGACTTACGTAAAGCAATTAAAAATTGGTGATTTGTCAGTGGAGAACGGAACAAATATACGCTTTTAAAATAACATTATGCTGTTCTTATGTGCCTAAGAAAATGTGAGTTATTTGTGTTTCTGCAACATTTTTCATGCAATTGTACAGAAAATAATTGGATTTGTTTGCTAGGATTGTGTGCATAGAAATCTAAATCATCTTTATAAATTGATAAACTTTTTTCATTTCAAATTGCAATTCTGGTTCATGTTTCGAGAATCCAAAGTTTATGATTCTGTATTTAATTCTTACACGTGTAACGTGAGGATATTTGTTCACGGAAGTAATTTAATGTCTCTCCAAAACAATGGGAATTACCCTCCGAATATTTAAGAAGTTACCTAAATGGAAATCAACCTCTTAATGCTCTAAATTTTCCCTCCCCTTAAATGGAAGTAGCCTCTCATTTTGCATATCACAAATCTGTGTAAATTTCGTATCAGTGATGGGTTTTACTACCAGAGTCCGGTTGAATATGTTCTTAAAAACCCTAACTCTTCATGTAAAATGTTTACTCAGATCCCCAACAGATGTATTTATGAAAAACATTTTTTTAATTCGTTTTGAATAGCTTAAAAATTATTCTGTTTGACTGCAAAAATGTGAAAAATAGCTTAATATTTCACACTTACAAATAACAAGCTTTCCACATGCTTTGGTTTCATATTACATTAATGAATGGAATCTTCCTGATTTTTATTTAAACCAAGTGTTTGTTGTTAACAATGATATAAGTGCGCATGGAAAGCTCATAAATGAATGGAATTATTTATGTATTGCGAATTTCTTAGATTTCTCTAAAAGAATATATCTTTTTGGAAAAATCGCTGACATATGTAAAAAAAAACCTATTGAAGTCTATCAAAAAATGCACGTTTGTGGCTAAATTACAAGGCTGTATGTGCTATCCATGAGTGGTTTTTACCCTCCATATTAAATTTAAGATAAAAATAATAACTTTTAAAAACGGTACATAGTGACCTATAGTGTCACTGGTTGCACTTTGCTCACTTGTAACTTCATATTCTTTCGTGGGAAGCGATTAGGTATTAATCGCTAATTTCACTGCGCCAAATTTCACCTTTTTAAGACAATTTTTGAAAATCGCGACTCTATAGTTAGTTCGATTTTATTGCGCTGATGAGAAAAAATCGGTGTACCATTGTACGTGTACCAGTTTTTTAAGAATTGGTACTGTATAAAGATTCGTCTGGCAATTATAAAAGAATTTTTCGATATTGTCCTGCACCCAAAACCTGTACCAAGCGTAAGCGTGGAGGACCTGTTAAGTTCACAACAGTTTTGAGTACCATGTGCCTTTTAAAAATGCATGCTTTTATGGAAGCCTTAACTTTAATCGTATATAAATAATACGCTTTTTACATAAAATGATAAAATTATGGCTTGTAGATATGTACATTATTTTAAGAGGTAGTTTGCCACCGAAATCCTAATTCAAAAATAACTTTAAGAGGCAGGTATCCATGAAGGGTACTTTTAAAATATTTGGAGGGTACTTCCCATTTAATTGGAGAGGCTTTAAATGCATGCCTTTGTTCACACGAGGAAAGCATTAGCTAAACGAACTTGTTTTTATCCAAGGTGCAACTTAAGTTTGAATATTCTACCAAAAGTAATGTTAAAATATTGTTTTGCAGAAAATTCGTGGAATCATCTTATCCACATCATGTCTTAATATGCTTAGCTAATTGTATTAGTAATTAAAATTTGAACTCATTTGCTTTACATAAGCACATACGTATATTCGACCATTGTTGCAGTTATGTATTTTGCATAGTGAATAACCCATGGCTAAAAAATTTAATTCTGCGCCATAAATGGCTATAAGTCATTTACGTAAAATACGATTGTTTTTGCATTCTCTGCATCAAAAAATACAATTTCAGAAGTATATCCATAAACGGTTTGAAAGAAATCACATAAAGTTGTCATAGGTTGAAAAACAACAAATCCAATATCATACATGCATATTTACATGTGAATATACTTTATTCATTTGAGTATAAAACTGTATTCGCAGAAAAATATACATTGTGTACGTACATATGTACTGCACACAGCAAATTTTCTGTGCAAATTTGCAGAAGATGCGAGTAAATTTAATTTTCAATCTGACAATGACATTCACAATCGGATTATAATGACAAATTAGATGTTATATAAAGTTACATAAAAAAGAAACATGTGGCATTGACAAAAATTCGTGAGGGCATGAGACTGGTGAAAGCACATGAAAGTGAGTTTCTCTTTTCGAGTAAAAATGGTGAAATTCTATTCAATATACTTCGTTTTGTTGCGAAATCACAGCTCAAGTGTCGATGAACGATGTCTTGGCACCTATGTATTAGCACGTGCGGATTTCTACATACACATCAATGTGCCCATTCATTCGCACATTTACAAATAATAATTGATTTTACAAAACTGACAGCACTCCGAAAATCATCATTGTTCAAGTTCAACACTATAAATTGGAATTTCGCAATTCTAAGTTTAATTTCGAAACTGTGACTAAAATAGCTATTAATACAGCTATATGTATGTCTTATTAAAGCTTGATATCGCATATGCACATATGTACCGGACTCTTCTGAATGCTAAATATAAATATGTACATATGCAGCATAACGTTATGAATTTCAACATACTCACCATTTATAATGTGCTAAAGGTGGGACTACTTTGGTCTGAATGGGTGAAATAAAGTCAAAGAGGGAGAGAAAAGTTTGGATTTTTGTGAATGCCTGAGTGAGAAAGTTATTGCATAACACATGGGGCATGTACCTTTCCTGAACTTTCCCCCTCACTTTCACTCTTCTTCTACATATTTCATCATAACTGAGGAAAACTTTTTTGGGATTTGAATGTAGATTGAGCAGTCATCCAATTTTAGAAATGTTGTCCCGAAATATAGAGAAGCCACTATGAAAGGGAAATCTCAAAGGCGTCCATGGACTTGACACCTTATTTTTAGCTCGCTCACTCCAATCCAGAAGTTCAACTATTCCACTTTTACCTGAAATAAAAATTAATGTCGATATATCCCGTGAAGCTCAAAACAATTACGAGGTCCTCCTCAATCCACGCTCCCAGAACGTGCCCAACTCATCTCATTCACCGAACTCGGGAGCAGCCAGCCTAATCTGCATCAAGGTGGGAGTGAAAGTCTTTGTCGTTTGTACTCATCAAAGCGTGCTTTCTCTCTCTCGCTCCCTCAATATTCCGTATTTAGATTGACCTGAGATTTGAATAGAATCTTGCCAAGCAGCAGAAAGTAGCAGCAGCAGGGCACATGGGTCAGGCATGATCACCTCAAAATAAAGGTGAAAGTCAGGCCACTTGTTCGCACCAACCAAATTATCTGAGGAGTTGAATTAGCAGTATAAATGCAATCCTGAAAAGCTCGCTTAAAATAAGTAATTGCAATAAATGCTTCTTGCATTTCTTATGCAATTCCTTATTTCAGTGGTATAGTAAAAGTCGAATTGTTGCAGGGCACCTGCAATTACGTGGACTAAATAAAATTACTCTGTGCAGCAGAAAATAGATTCACGAAAGTCATTATTACTAAGGAAAATCTTGTATCAGGAGCTGGTTCAATCAGTGATGGATCTAAATGGGGATAATGGAAGGTTGTAGGTGGCAGATACTTTCTATCTGTATCGGATAGATAGAAAGAACTCCAGTTCACCAAGTTCATGTCCAGATTGAATGAGTGATTTTGACAGCCTTGACATTCACCTTGGTGGGTGAGATTGAAAGTCAAAGGTAGAGAGAGATGAATGAAGGAGGGTTATGATCAGTAACCCTCTTCTTCTCTGTGATCATTTTGGTGGAATTAGTTACACAATTTTCAATTTCGTGGGCGATTAAGGTACAAGTTAGCACACATGCTGGGTGAATGGGATTATGTAGCGTTCTACACTGGACACCCATCAGTTAGTTTAGTCAAAGTACTTATTTTTATTCAGAAAATGATATGCACTTTGAGACCAATCTGAATTATTATAGCTGATCAGAACAAATAATAATATTTTATTAAGATGATGGATACTAACACGCTCAGTACAAAACTTTCGTTTAAAGATAAAAAAGAAAAACAATTAACTTTTGCGTTACAATAAACTAATTGTAAGATATAGATATTTGTCAAGAGTGTAAGTCATTTTCTCAATGAAATATTTTGATCGTGCGTGGAAGTGGTAACTAATATTTTGTATTTAACAACTGGGATAGGAAACTACACAAGTTACCACTTCAATTCACGAATACACCATTTAAAATATGGTCTTAAATCTAATAACGACGTTTTTTCCCTCCTTGACCTCTTCCTCGCCCACGACCCCCGTGCCTACCAGTATTTCCGCGTTTCATTTGCATTCTTTTCGCAGTGATTCCGTCCAAATATTTCTGCTCTTCATCGCCTTCCATTGCAGTGATATCGATAAAGGAGTCGTCCCCCAGTTTGAGTTTGCCGTCTGTCAAAATCTTCACCGCCTCGACTGCAGACCCTGCTTTCTCGAGACGGACGATTCCTTCAGTAGCACCTTTGTTAAAGTCCACGAAAACGACCTTCACAAATAAATAGTAATAAATTGTATGAGAATATTTGTGGTTTGGAAACATCTTAACACCATCCAATAAGCCTTATAAAATCATGTAAGTCATATGAGTGTCGTATATTTAAGTCGTATATTCTGAATAATTCACCTTGAAATCTTCTTCATTGGTAGCGCTATACCATTTCTCTTTAAAGTCTTCACGACTGCACGTAATTGGAATGTTGGCGAGCTTCACGAGAGCCCCTTTGACCATTGATTCCTTATGTTCAGATTCATTAGCAGCTTCTTTATCGTTGGCGTCACCAGAGTCCTGACTTCCACCTGCCTTCTTCTTTCGCAGTTCAACTCGAGCCACATACTCTTCGCGTTTCAGTTTCTTATACTCGGTGTGAAACATTTTCAAGTCCTGCAAGGAAAAATGATAAAATTATTTCACGAATTAGTCATGTTCAATTGTTTCGTTAGTAGTGTTGTAACACGAATGGTACCCGTATCACCGGTGTTGATCATATACCAGTGGTACAGGTTGCAGTGTGTATATTAACTTACAATATTATTGCCTTTGAAAACAATGTTAGTTTCTTGTAAGAACTTTGTGGCTAGCTCCACAGATTTGAAGACGACAAGGATGGACCCCTTAAACTTTTTAACCCACACGACCACTCCTTCTCCTCCCTCTTCTGATTCCTTTGGGGCCCCTTCCTCTGTCTTCTCACCATCAGTTCCATTAGCAGATTTTGCAACCTCAAAGGTCTTCTCCTTATACCACCGCATAACCACGGCCTCGACTCCCTCATACTGATTGAAGAATTCTACAATTTTATTTCAAAATAATTACTTATACATTTGCTTTGCTGTATCGACTTATCTATAGCACAATATCTAACTTCTCACCAAACAGATCGTCCAATTTAGTCTCCGTCTTAGGAAAACCTTTCAAATATACTGTTCGTGCTTCTGTGTTGGGATCTAATGGCACATCCTGATTTCGGCGCAACTTTGTCCCATCCTCGTCAACATCGACCAAACTCGACCCCTTCAAAACGTCGGCAATTTTTTGTTTTTGCTCCTCCGCAGGCAGGCTACATAAATAAATACAAAGTGCTCCTAGTTAGCTACGCTAGTATATTTTTTTATCACAAACAAAGTACTTACTCTTGAACTAGGGCTTTAAGCCGATTGAATGTCAGCATCGTATCAATTTTAATCCAACCATCATCTTTAGCACATTCCGTCTTCATAAATTTGTCTCGTGGGAAGTTGTTGTCGCCAAAATAGTACTAGAGACAAGTAAATTGATGTAATTTAATAACATTGAAAACTATGTATTAAGTCGCGCTTTACAAAATAATTTTCTTATTGCATCATTAATGAATTGCACAATTACTCTAGGGAGAGAAAATAGAATAAGGTATGGTTGAGATGCAATGACTGGAAATTATGCAAATTAAATTTTTAGTGCAAATTACGCAACCAAACTTATTCAATTAATGGAATTTAAAGTTTTAAATTAAACCGGTACTTAAATGCACAACTATTTCCTTACCTCAACTTGCTTCAACAATTTGCTATCTAGTGTAACTTCAGCCATTTTAAAATGTAAGGTTTACAGAGACAAACAAACTTTAAATCCAATTTTATTAGAAAGCGCAAATTTTTACTCGGAAATTTGACAGAAAGAGAAACCGAAACGCAGTTGTCTGTTTGGTGTGATGAGAGCGAATGCGATGCGGGTTACCACGTGCAGAAGCAGTGGAGGCAGTTTGAACGTCAGCTCGTAGTTTTCGTCTCATAAAACGATGACCAAGCCAAAACCCATGAAAACATCAACCTGAATTCCTCACAGGTTACCGTCAAAAACCATGATCGGGGACCTGCAATGGGGGACATTATGATGAATCATAATGTCCCCCAGCACAGGTCGTTTAAAACATGTTTGCTATTATATGTAGGTAAAGGTATAAAAAAACTACAATTGAAACTTGAAACAACTGCGGGGATATTCTGATTTTGTTATATCCATTATACTTTAATTTCAGACCAGACCGTATATATTAAAAGTTTAGAATTTACATTTACATATATGCATAGTTTAGTTTCAAGCATTATTTATAGTAAGACACGAGATTAATAATGGTAATGAAGGTGGCCAGAAATATACATTAGATGCTGCGACGACTAGAGCGTGTAGTAGGGGCACGTTTTCTTGGATGATTTTCTTGGTTTGAGAATGGATAGCAATTGTAAGCCATGCCCATTGATGATGACGATTCAGCGACAACAGGGACGGCTTTATTATCCCCGCTTGACAAGCACTGTTCAGGATTCTTGCTGGGAATGATGTTCAACGCCAAGGATTTCCGCGATCTGGCCGCTTTGATGGGGGTTAGTATGCTTGTTTTTGGAGTAGAGCCAGTAGAGGCACGAGCTGCACTTGAACAGTTTCCATTGTTATCTACGGACGAAGGAAGATCACGCAAGTTTTGAAATTTGAAATCCGCACCCAACTTTTCCTCCAAGGTGTTTACAGTTTCCTCAATTTGTTTTCTACGAATGCGAGACCTTTCAATTGCCATGTGGGTAGATTTCATGGGGTCAACTCCTTCGCCACCTTCGTCACTGCTGCTGGCGCTTTCTTCCTCTCCATAGATGTTGCAAGATTGAATGACATTGTTGTTTTGATCATATCCTTTAGTATTCCCAGAGTTGGTGGCCCCTGAGAAAAGCAATCCGTTTGTTTTAATCAATTCAGTTAATTCAGTGCCAAGTTTCTCAGAAACGGGTTCGAGAATTTCCTGAAGTTTGTCCCGTTCCTTGGACAAGTCCTGGATTTTTCGATCCAATTTGTTATTGACGGAGGCCAGGCGGCGCATCTCAACGACGCATACTCCTTCGTCTTCCATGGGACGGATACGTAGTTTTCGAAAATCGTCTTTTCGTCTGACCAGACCAACTTCAAGATCGTATACTTTTTGTCGCAGTAAACGATTTTCATCTCGTTGCATTGTGGGCATTTTGATATACTCGTTGTCCTCCTTTGCCATTTGCTCCAATTGCATCCTTAATTTGTACTTCTTATTGTCCAAACAAACATACCGTCTTCTCCACGTTTCCATTTTCTCTTCCCCCATTTTGCAGTCTTTGTCAATTGTGACAAGATCTTGAACGTCGGATTGATTACTTACGACACGTAGTTTTGTCAACTTTTGATTTTCGTTCAACTCCTTCACAAGTCTGTTTCTCGTCTTTTCTGCTTCATCTCGATCAATTTCCGCTTGTGGAGTTTTTCGAGTGTAATCTGGATGTAATCGAAGCTCATTTTTTCCAACGACGCTGTGCCAAGCATACCGACCTACCTTTGGAGGTTCGGGAATTGGATAGTTCTTGGCTGCCACATGAAATCTATTATCCGCAAACAGCATGACTGTATTAATACATTCTGATGAATAAGTTTAGAGTGTAAAAATATAAATACTTAATATTTGATATACGTACGGTTCACGACTCGTGTCTGGAGGAGTTGGGGTAGGTTTCATACTGAATTCATTTTCAGGTTTCTTAATATCCAGAGTTCCTAACCAGAGGGCTTCTTTTTGAGCCAAACCGGCCAAGTCTTCAATATTTTTGACCTTGTCTTCATCTTCTCGTACCAAAAATGTCCGCGGAATAGTCTCTTCTTCTTCATAGACGGCATACCTTTCCTTGAAGGCTCCCAACATCCCTTTGTCTACGTCCAGCTCCTGATGCATTCTGAACAAAATTGAAGAAAAAATAATAATAAAAATTCATTCAACTTTATAGCTAAAAGTAAAATCAGTCAGTTTACATTAACGAAAACAATTTGACAGTTTTTCAGAAAATCAAAATCTTAAATAATCAATTTCAAGTAGTGCAATAAAGTATTAAGTGTAGATGATTGACATTTTTGGAATATTTTGACAAAACTACGAAATTAAATTTTTGACGATGGGGAAACCCCCCACATTTAAAGTACAAATGCATGTTTCTAACTGCCTACCTGGAGTTATTTAGTAATTACGAATTGGCGATAAATAATGCAAGGGAAATATACTACAAATTTAATTTACGATAAACACACGAATGGAAGACTGGCCTGGCTGGCTCTGACTGAATGTCAGACTGAAATTCAGATGTCAAAGCCAGAGCAGGCCAATGACCCAGCAGGAAATTTTCTCAGAGGTGACGGCGGTACTAGTGATCTCTATCGCAGTCACCTCTAACCAAAATTTTGCATATTACTTTGTTTTTGACAATTAAATCTTTATGCAGAATAAGAATGTTGAAATTTGGTTTCGTCATACATTTATTTAACATGCATTAGTAAATTAATTTGACAGACTAGATATTTTAATTGTTATGACCATGTCTCAGTTTGATATCTTCCAAGCCGTTTGGAGCATAATTCCATAAAATTTTCGGCATTATTAATCCCAGATTGTTTCATAAGTTGTAAAATTGCTTCTTGAACATCCTTTGGCATGTCTTTGGCATTTCCGGCGACGTAAATGTAAAACTTTCTAGAGGCTAAGATTGGACCCAGTGTTTCAGTTTCTTGCAGAATTTTATCTTGTACATAATCCCGTTTTCTAGAAAAAGATTTAAAATAAAATAAATTAAAATGCAGTTTTTGGAAAGTCAAATTAAATAAATTCATGACATAGACATACTCTCCATTGGAGTCTCGCGAAAAGGCACATTTAAATTTGAGCAAATTGTCTTGTTCCAACTTCACCCATTCATCTTGGAAATAAAAGTCAAGTTTTTCATTTCTGCATCCAAAGAACAACCACTTGTCCCATGACTGTAAGCTATCCGTGATAAATGATCTGAACGGTGCTACTCCAGTACCAGGTCCAATCATTATAATGGAAGCTTCCTAGAATAATAAATCAGTTCAAATTAGTCACGAATTCATATTGATTTATTGAGAAATTTAAATGAATGATGATTATACTTACTTCGTCTAGAGGGGGAAACGTAAAACTTCCTTTTTGAACCCACAATGGAATTGGAGTGCCTTCTTGGCAGTGATGAGCTAGCCAATTAGAGCAAAGTCCTTTTCTTTTGGATTTAATTTTTGTTTGATATTCTACCACTGCTACCAAGATTTGTACAGAATTTGGAAATTGTTTTCTAGAGCTGGCAATTGAAAACGATCTTGGCTTTATAGCTGGAATGAGGTCGAATAGGAAAACTGGAGGAATATTACGCTTAGTGTGGTGAAAATCTTGAAGTACCTCCAGAATATTTCTCTTTGGACGATTACAATAAGAAAAAAGATCTTCTTGTCCTTCCGGAGTACAAAATTCGGTTAACTTTTCCTTTTCTAATTCGTTATCAGCAAACTTGCTCATTAATTCAAAAAAGTAAAGTCGTGGTACTGACTGAATATCGAGTAAATGTGTGACAATTTTTCTCCAGCTCCACGGCTGTGGTCCCATTATTTTGATAATTTCTGGGCTTATTTTACTCCATGGTAAGTCTGGATTCTTCTGAATATAAATGGGTGGATCGGTGACCAAGTCGGGGAATGTTTCAAAAAACGTGTCGATATTGTCAGGCAAATTGGAAGGCTGGATTGTTAAAACGTCGCCTATAATTAAAGAAATTATAAACAATGATATTTATGAACTAAAGAATGCGTATGAATGCATAAGTATTTAAAATTTCAATACCTGGAACAAAACTCAGATTGGAATTCTCAAGGTCAATTGTAATGAGTCGTGTATCTTGCCAATGATTAGCCGATGTAACTCGTACATTTCCTGTAACATTCCGCACTTCAAGCGTGCTCTTCTCATCATCGTGAATAATTGATAAACCATCTTGAATCAAATTGTCATCTTGTTCCTTAATGGTGAATTTTGATATTGGCTTCATGCTTGTTTTGGGCTTTGGATTTAAACTCCATTTCTGACATATAACCGTCCATAGACTTTCTAACCAAGGAGCCACAGACGCATGATATCCCAGGTCATGTTGGTCATCTCCAAGACAAAGGTCTAGAATTTGACTTGCACCCAACTGTTTCAGTCGTCTGTTCAGCTTCTTGCCCACAAAATTATACTTTTCATATGACGAGTCTCCCAATCCGATAACTCCATAATTAAGCTGACATAGTAAATCTTGACTCCACTGAGCTCTGCATAACGTTTTCCAAAAGTCCTTCATATTATCTGGAGGGTCTCCCTGTCCAGTAGTGGCAGCAATAAAAATGACTATCGTCTTGTCGTTTGAGTAATTCAATTTCAAATTCTCTACGCCGATTTCGTTCATAGACGAGACCAATGGTTTCATGCAACCCAACTGTACCCCTTCTCTTGCAACGCGTTCAGCAACATCTTCCGCTGTCCCGGTTTGACTTCCGAACAGAACAACAAGGTTTATCTCAGTCATTTTGTGATATACCTAAATATTAAAAGCTATATAATTCGAGCATACACTTTGCACTTTCCTATCTTATATAGTACATACTTCATACTCATTAATTATTAAACAACGAATACAAAATATATGTGAAGACATTAATTACCTATCATGTATCTTCCACACCGATTGTCCCAAAGTCAAATTGTCTCCTTTATCAGAGTGACACTTAATCTTTCTAATTTCAACAAAATTATATAATTCAAACGAATCCAGGAAATATAAGTAATTAAATAGGAAAGTATGTAAATCCAACAACTTACAAACTCTAGCTCCGGTAGTCTCGTCCGAATCGTCCTCCCACACCACTCCCCAAGTCCCGTCCCCAACACTTTGCAATAAACAACAAACTAAACAACAGTTAATTCACAAAAATGGTACTTGGATATGTTAACTTGGAAATTTGAAATTAAGAAATCACTTCCTAACTCCTCAAGGGTTCCGTTCCACATGTGATGAATGGGATACATGACTTTCATTCCCATCGGGAAGTGTCCCTGACAAACTCCGCGGCTCCGTAAATCGATCTTGATTCGCCCGTCGCCTACCCAGCGGAGAGTTTGACTCTGCTTTTTTCCACTTTTTTAAGCTCCTGCTGCTGCTGTTTGTATTGTTATTATCGTGACCTCTCTGCTGCTGCTCCTCGGGTTGGATGGTTGTGGATCGAATTTCTCTTGTGCTCGTCCTTCGCATATTTCGAAAATTAAATCCAAACCACCCCCACCCACCAGCACCACCCCTTCGTTGTTGAGTTTTATCTCTCTTTTAATTCGAGGAAGCATAGAGGCTTATCCTTTTTTGTGTCTGGTTTACATCTACAGGACAAACAAAGCAATCTTTCTTGTTTTTAAAATTGCAACGAAAGTTTTAATTCAATGTTTTTAATTAATTGGAGCAATTGCATAGTACGTCCGTGATTAATTAATTAACAGTATCAGCCCAGAGAGGAGAGGAGAAGGCGTGGTCAAGTCACAAAGTTCAGCAGCAGATTCGCTGCAAAAACAAAGAAGAAAGTTCATTGATCTCTCATTTTCACTTTGACCTGAAAATACGGTGAAAATTGTAGTCTCGAAGGTTCCCAAGTCAAGTTTTCTCTCAGTTGGTGGAAGGTTCTCGAGAGGTGCACACACTTTTTTGGAAAACTGCGTCGTCACTCCAATTTTTTTTCGGAAATTTTGAAAGACTACATTTTAGTTGGGTTTCGAGTTCTATCAAACTGTGGAAGATAAGTGATATAGGGCTAATAGGGAAATTTGGTCTAATTTGTGGGGTAGTTCATTTTGGGAAGAGAAAAGGATCGTGAAAATGTTGCACGAAATTATTATACCTGAAATTTCTGATATAAACGATCAAATTATTCAAGTACCCGCATCGGAGGTTCCAGAGTCTGAGATATCGGTGGAAATATCATCAGAACCGTTGTACTGCTTGTGTCAAGAACCTTGGGATATTCACAATCGGAAGTTTATGATCCACTGTGATCATTGTTCGGATTGGTTTCACGGATTGTAAGTTTTTTTATTATTATTTGCTTAGAAATTTTGCGTATGTACCATCAGATTATACATACAGAACATAGGATGATTTATAAATTGCAATAAATTTCAGATGCGTTGGAATAACTGATGAGGAAGCCAAGGACATTGAAAAATACCATTGTCCAAAATGTCACCCAGAAGTTGGACCATCAGTTTGTAAGTTACTTTTAGAAAATGAATAATTTCATTATTATATGATGGTAATATATCATGCGTGTTTTTTTAGTGGTGGACTACACAACCAAGAAAATTAACAAGCGTGTCAAGTCAGTCCGTTGTACGCCGGAATTTATTGAAAAACTCCAAACCTATAAATTTCTAATGTAAATAATTGTTTTGATCAAAGCCACGTTTTATAAAGGTTGCTTTTTAATAAGTGTCTTTATTCAGTCCGGATGAGGTGGTTCTCAAAGTTCGAGGACAGGCTTTGACGTTACCATGGCTTATTGCTAAAGGTTTCACTCGTCCTGTTTTCGTCGATTCGGTGGAAGCGTTGGGAATGAAACTTCCACCAGACAGCTTTACTGTTCGAGATGTTGAACGTTACGTTGGATCTGACCGAATGGTGGACGTGATCGATGTCGAACGACAAACTGATATCTTAATGTCCATGCAGGAATTTGCGGATTATTTTATGTCACCGAATCGCAATAAGCTTTTAAATTTAATTAGCCTCGAATTTACGCATACAAAGTGAGTATTAATTGGTTTATTTTGATTAATTAATTGCGGAATTGTTAGTAACAATTTAATTTAATTCTCGTTTCAGTTTGAATAAGCTGGTGGAGTCTCCAGCAATATCTAGGAAATTGGATTGGGTCACCAATTATTGGCCATCTAGTCAACCGTCTGCAGACGAAGAATCTATATTACGTCCCACTGTTCAGAAGTATTGTTTAATTAGTTCAAAAGATTCATACACGGATTTCCACATTGATTTTGGTGGAACGTCAGTTTGGTATCATGTTTTGTGGGTGAGTTTAATATAAATATGATTTGAACTAGTTTTAGATGTCTGCTAGACTAAAGGTTTAGTATAATGCTATATTATATGTTTGTTGTTACAGGGTGAAAAAGTTTTTTATTTTATTGAACCTTCGGAAGCTAATCTTAATATCTATAGTCGTTGGATGGATGGAGAAATGGGAGATAACTGTTTTCTGGCAGATGAGGTATGGAATAATATAATAGTTAGCTGAGCGTTGTGATTATAATATTAGATTTACGTAACACATTGCAATTTATTATTGCAGATCCCAGTATGCTTTCGTTGTGTCTTAAAGAAGGGTCAAACACTGTTGATTCCAACGGGTTGGATTCATGCTGTTTATACTCCAGAAGACTCTCTAGTATTTGGTGGAAATTTTCTTCATTTCCTGAATATGGATCTCCAACTGCAGTAAGAGTTGATTAACATTTTATAAATGTTAAATAATAAACTGAAATTAATATTCTAAATTTCTTACAGAGTATACGACATCGAAAAACGCCTTCAAACCCCAGTGAAGTACTTGTTTCCTTCATTTGAAGCGACTCATTGGTATGCTGCTGAAGGATTAATACAAAATCTACAAACGTTAAACGCTACTTCTTACGTCCCTGGATATATGATCAAAGGGTTGAAGGCCCTTATACAGTCGCTTAAAGTTTGGTTTAATGAAAAGGAGGCAAGTTAAAAAATATATTTATATCTATCTATATTTTGTAAATATAGTTGTAATCGGCTCATCTAATTAAAGGTATGTATGATTTAATAGATTGGAAAAGTGCGTCGTGAATACATTCCTGGCCGTGTTAATTGTAAACGAATTATTCACGATCTTTGCAAGGAATTGCGTTCTTCCGAGAAACGTTTGTTGTGTTCTTCATCTAAAGACAACTCGCCGCTTAAAGAGTCAGTCGTATCCTCTGTAAGTATAATGTTTTGTGCAAATAAGCTAAACAAACTTGGATTCTAATATGATATTGGTAATAATTTATACATAAATATTATTATTACAGACCGAATTCCCTGTGAAAGAAATTTTAAAACGTGATAGCAACTCAGTTGAAAACGGATATACTGTTTCGGGTACTTCTCCGACAACTGGTACTTCAAAAGATCCTTTAAAGCTTGTATTGTCCATATCCTCCTCTGCTACTGTTGAAGCTACGCAGCCTAAAGCCAAGGCTCCAGGAAGAATCACAATGACTTTTAAAAGACAGTCAGTTAGCGGACCCAAGTATGTTAATGTCTAATTTTTATTGGGCTTTCATTTCTGTTGGATACTAAAATACATGTTACCTTTCCAGTTCTGGGGAAGATTCTTCCCGAGCAAGTTCGCCAAAGGACAACCACAAACAACCTCGAGTTAAAATTCGTTTGTCATGTATGTATTCCAAATTCATAGAATTCATATTCTTCATAGTTTGTAAACACATAATATTTACTAACTATCACTTTATTACTTTTGATCCCCTCTATAGTGAGTGATAGGAAATCAGAAAGCATAGACTACGATTCTACAACTGGTTCAGATGTTCTGCATATTGCAGAGTCTGATCATGATATTACAAAATTGGATTCTGATGGTAGTTCACAGGATTTAATAATTGATCTGAATCGTCACAAGGGACACAGGAAGCACCATCATAAGAAATGCAAGAAGGGCAAGACTGGAAAGTCTCGGAATGATCAAAATAGATCTATTGATGAAGTACTTGCTGGAACACTAGACGGATTAGAGGAACTGTTTCAGTCTTCGAATTATTCTGAGCGAATTTCCCAATCAGAGTATGTTGCATTTCGTTTAATCCTGTACAAACAGTGGGTCATGTAATTTATTTAATTTAAAACGTCTTTAGGTCTACATCCCAAGCTATCAAGGATACCGTTGCCGGTATGTCTGCCATGAAAGAAACCATTTTACCGTCCAGGAAAAAATCCAAGCATAAGAAAAGGAAACATGGCAAAGTTACTGGATCTGATTCAGATGATATGTTTGAGGGAATTGAAAAAGTCCATCAAGATGACGATTACAGTATGATATTTTATTCATTTTATTTATCATTCATTACTTTCATTAACTACATAACTAACAACTAAACTTATTTACTTACTGATTCAACTTTTAATCTACATACAACGAATTTTTGCTTATAGTTTACTTACCGTTAGCCGGTTCTGATGATGACGCACCCACAAATCATGGAAAATCTAAACGAGGTAAAAGGAAGGTTGAAGACGAGTCGTGGTCACCGCGAGCTAAAGTTGGTCCAGTGGGTCACCGGGAGACAAAGTCATCAAGAGTCAACGCTAAACGGGAAGCTGTAGAAAAGGGTCTTGAGAAAGCTTCCGCTGCTTTGGAGAGCGTTAGCTGAATTATTTAATACAGCATACAAGATTAAAATATTCACAACATACCATTTATTTATTATTTGTTTTTGCTGTAACCTAGGCCAAGCGTAAGAAAAAGCATGAGCCCATCCCAATTCTAAAAGTGAAAAAGCAAAAATTAACTCCTTCTCCGGAAAAACCAAAATTACCATCGACCTCCTCATCCATGGATATTGCTACGAAGACGTCGATACTGGCCAAGAAATTTGCTGATATTAGCACTCCGAGCCAAGCTTCAACAACAGCAAGGAAACCGAAGAAAGGGATGGCCACAGTAAAGCAGCGCCTGGGAAAAATTCTAAAACTTAACAAGTTCGCTCGTTTTTGACATGTTTACTTTTCAGTTACAAAGCGTTATTATGAGACTTCCAATTTTTGAATGGTCCAAAATTCCACTCTATTTTTGGATGAATGAGCTAAATTACTTTATAAGTTATTAGCTCGTTCATACGAAGTTCTAGTAGTAACAACAATGGTGCTCAGGATTTAATGCTTTAATGTGTCATGGTAAGTATTTAACTTATTTTCTGATGATTTTTTTAGGCATTATCCGGCGTTATATGTTTGGTGAACAGCATTAATCTCACTTTTTTGTTCTTTCGATAATGCAACCTTTTTTCCTATTAATTTCTTTTAAATACTTGTTTTTATATACTTTCTGCTTTGAGCTGTTTCAGTTTGAAACTTTGAAATCATGTTGTATCCGTTTTGTTATTTAGAATCTATTTTCAAATATTGTCAAAATTGTTCCTCATTTCGTATGTATGTTGTTGTTGTTTGTTATACAACTTAGAAGAGTATCAGTATTAAAATTTCTCGTGGTTAGTGGGTATGGGTATTTCGGAAACAGGGTGTAGTGTAATGAATTTAGGTTTACAAGAACTTCACAAACACGTTTTTACAATTTATGTATAAGAAGTTCTATAAGGGCAAAATATCTATGGTTGTGACAATACTTTAGTATTATTTTGGCCTTCGAGTAGCATTTATCTAAACATTCTGAAAATACATTTGTAGGCTCTGATTAATTGTTAAGGTTTGTTCGCCGTAATTTTGCCTCCAAGTCAAAGTGATGTCCAGTTAAGTTTGAGTATGGTGTAAATCGAAACACAGAACTCGAGAATGTGAGATTATTACAGTTTTATCAACGATATTATTAATCTGGTAAATGTTTAGTATAATATCCCTAATTTCATGAAAATTAGCAACAGCACGAGTCGTTTAACCGTAGGGGGTGAAAATTAGGGAATTAGATAAAAGGGGTTGATAATTTCTGAAAGATACTGTAGTATTTCCAGTTGCAATTTAAGAAAAATATGTAGGTCGTCACAAAATTTCATGTAATAAGTAAGCAGATTTTACCCTCCCGAAATACTGACAATGGGCGTCTTGATTCCCTGTTTTTTATATTTTTAGTGACATGGGGTTAATTCTTCCAAGGAATTGGATGTGCTATATTATTAAATATACTATATTTCAATTCTAAGGGATTTTAGACCTTGTACAGGATTAGGTAAGATTAAAGGAACGTAGTTTTGGTGCCGATTTATTGCATACAAAAACGTGAGCCATCTAAATTGTTTCGAAATTTTGGGAAAATGAGTCCTAAAATGGACCCCCAAATACCAAATTGTTCCATGCTCCAAAGTAGTTTGTGGAGCTGGAATGACTCAACACCTATTGTAAACCAAGGACCAAGTCGTACATAAGTGAAATTGTACCATACAATTCTTTCATCCAGATATGCAAAGGGAAAAGAGTTGAACAGTTTGCTACATTTTGTCCAAGGACAAATGAAGAAGTTTCAAAGTCTATATGGAAAGAAAATTATAGAAATGCATGCAAATGTAAGAACAATTTTGTTCCATTCGGCGATAACATTAAGATTCCGCCTATAATCTTGCTAATCCTCGGCATTGAGAGGGCAACAATACAGTCAGGCAATGAAGTACATTTTCGACCTCTGTTGATTTCAATGTAAAAAAATTGTCACTTTATATTGTCTATGAACTACATACATGCATACGTTTCCTTATTATTAACCCAAGTATTTTTGTAATTGACAATCATTAGAGTCAGTCAACAGTTTAGTCGGGTATACTAATTCCATGTGCATTTGTCGCACATGACCTCTAACTAACCCTTTCCTAACAGTTGACATTAGTTAATTTCAAAACCACTTCTTGTAAGTATTTAATAGTGCTTGCTCTTTATAGTTTGCTGCTTTAATTAAGAGTTTTTATAGATTTTTATTCTTCTATTTACAGTTAGCGTGGTTGCAGAAGTTTAAAGTATACATAAATATGTCATATATATACCATATACTATATATGTAGCAAGTGGTCGACACAGGAGAGAATTAGAAATACTTTATCGTATCAACAATGTAACTTCTGCGGCACGGGAGTTGTAAGAGGCTATAGTACAATTAGTTTTAGCAGGAACTCATCCTCAGTTCAATGGTTAATGATTCTGGCAATTCTTTCAAATCGTATGGTCATATATGAGAACATTACGTGAAGGTAGAAGTATTTTATATTCTTAAAATAAGAGAACTACGAATATTACTAATATTACTGTTATTAGTACACTAACTTGAATGTTGTACAGCACTTGTATACCACCAAACTTGATACACTCCATGATGTCAAGCGTGTTCATTTAAATATTTTGTAACATTACAGGTAAGTCGATTTTACTATGTATGTTCGGTTAACGAAATGTATATACATATTCCTCTTTACTGGCATGTGGATACAACATTTTATTATTACTGTCATTTAAAACATATTTATGAATTGGTTGTGTTCTTATTTTTTGTGATTTGTCAAAAAATGATACAATTGGTTATGACGGACTTGTTCAAAATTTTACTAAACTAACATGTTTAGTTATACAATTATGATTCATACAAGTATGTAGAGATCAATATAAATTACGCAATGAGATAAAATACTCTGTGTAGAAAGATGCAGCTGCATAGTAATGTAATTCATGTAACAGGAATCATTTGTCACAAACTGATTTAAACAAAATTTGTTTTAAAATTATAACACATGTAATAAAGATGATGAATTACGATGATGAAATCAGACAAAACAAAGGTTGTAGTGTGGTGGGTTTTAATATTAATTTATTTACCTGAACTTTGCTCAAAATTCACTTTCATTGCATTTAATGTGATATGTATAATGCGCATAATTTAAAGATATTAATGAAAATATGAAATTAAAACTCGTAACACACGACTTCACTTATGCACATTCTGCACCAGATACATGTGCATGCTCGTAATAATTCTTCTCCGTCAGTCATCTCATCATCAACCTTTCAAACCCTTTTCAACTGGTATTTGACAAGAAGATTATTAAAGTCAGCAAATCTGCACTGGAGTCAACCTGTTGTCTGCACAGGGTGGCATAGCAGTACAGTAATACTTAACTTCCTTATTACATCCACACACTTAGGTCACATACGTATCTATGTACACAAGTTGAGTGAGAAGGTTTTAAGGTGATGGAACGTAGTTAGCAATTAGGTTGAGAGCCAGTAAAACGTAATTCAACATGTTGTCGAGTGTACTTAAGTGATGCTGCTGAACTTCCTTTGTTTCCTCACCTTTTTGGAAAACGGGACGAAGGTGCTGAGGAGCCTTTCTCGTGTTTGGTTAGACTTTTCATGAAATCCTCCGTGATTAAGGCGGAGTAGGAGTTACTCTACATGTCGTTTTCTCTCATCTCATCTCAACCTACCTCTCACAACATACTGCAACCAAACACCACTATAAAAGCAGCTAAATATCTACATATCTGGCCACAATCACCTATTTAATAACTTAGGAAAGGAGCATCTGCCCGTTGTTTCAGATGAGACGTGAATTGGAATTCAATTAATGGGCCCTTTCTTTCCATGAGCAACAGGTGGGGTGGGTTGGTGGGTGGGTGCAACGAACGCGATTAGTGTGAAACACGCAACAAATATTACGAAATCACACAATCCTGATGTTTGATATGCACGCCGTTTACAGGTTCTCATTCTCCTCAGCTTGTTCTTGGGTGATGAAAACTTTACTTTTCAGTCAGGTGAAGTAATGGGCTCAAATTATGGGAGAAATTAAACGATCTAACATAATACCGAATTTGAGTCTTATTTGCATTTCAGGTCCAATTAATTAATATTGTTTTACATACTTTTCCGAGAAAACAGTACAAATAGTTGCAAGTATAAATTTGAAAGTTCTTTTTATGAGAATGAGGAATATATACACAAAGGGGATGGGGTTTAAAGAGGAATGCGTACATAAGTTCCACACGTAAGTAAGTGGAGCCCTTGAGAAAAAGCTGAAATTGAAAAAGTGAAGGGATGCAGTTAGTTATCTGTATGAAAGTGGCAATGGAAATAACAATAAAAAGAAAGGAAGAATGTGATGTGGGAGCTTGTTAAATCGTAACAAGGTTGGAGGGGGAGCCCAGCACAATGGGAGATCGGGATACCACCCTCGCAAAAGTCAACCCTTATTAAAGGAACCGTATTATTACCGTATAGAATTAGCGTCACACATAAACGAACCACCCAAAATTATCTCCTCCTCGGCCTGACTCTTTCGTCTTCCAGACTTATTTGAAACAAGTTTCCATCCATCCATCCACTTATACTTTTTTTTTATTTTTTCGCCTTTATCCAACTCCACAACACACGGACAAAAAATCTATTGTACGGTGTAGTTCAGGAGAGACGAGGCTGGAGGATAAAAAATTACTGCGCCAACACTATTCAACGTCGTCCTCTTTAATGGAGGCCGGCGGATGGACAGATGCTCGAGAAATCATCTCAAAAACCTTATCCAAATTTTACTCCCATCCATCATATGCTGTTGGCCGAGAGATATTTTATATATAATTTCTCCAAGACGGACCGATACCTATTTATCATGGTTAGCTTACAAACCATTACAATTCCGCTGTGGCGGCGGCGTTGGTGATTAAGTAAATTTCTCATTAGTGCATGAGATCGAATGTGGCCGCATCAAAATTATTTATTGCTTTCTATCCCATCCCCTATAACGTTGGTGCATATGGGAATAAGGTCTCGTTTTTTGGAGGTATATCTTAACTGCTTGCAGTTTTAGTATAATAAATTGTAGTAGTGTTTATAACAAGATTTTGAACAATTGCGCATACAATTTACAGACAATATTCTAAATTTTTATTCAAATTTTGTGCACGATACTACTTCCAATTTCGGATGGAGATTCGAAACCTTAATATTTTTCTATTTTCTCCTAAACCATAAATTTAGCATCCCAAGATTGTTATTATTCATCGTCAGCGCCACGATAATCAATCCGTCCACGTCCAACCAATTGAGGTGATGCTTGCGTCAGTTGTGGGACCACATGAGGGTGTCTAAACCTTATTGTACCAAAATAAATAGGTGTTTCTCAGGACCAAGATGAAGTATAATGATGGATTAGGGCAAAAGTGTGACAGTCGAGTCTCGAGGAAACCACAGTTTGTATCTCATGATTCATTATTGTCCAAAAATGAAAATTTTAGGCTCTCTTAATACCCATGCACGCTTCACACAAGTTCCTGCATAAGTAAGTGCAGGCAATTTTTGTGGTGTACAATTTTCTCTTTTTCTTACTTGCAAGTGGAAACAAAAACATCTATGAATAAATTCAATTACTCAACTTCTCCCTGACATAAAAACCAAAAATAGTGATGAGATGGAAAGAAGAATCATTTCCACTTGAGCACACCCTCTCGTTTCGAAGTTGTAAATATATCAAAGCCACTCGCTAAGATGAAACTTAACCCAAAATGTTTTACACTTGGTTCAAAATTGTCAATACTATATGAATATTTTTTAATAAATTTGAGCTCCAACTAATCCTAAGTAGTAGCAGTATTCGTCCAGCGTTTATAATTCGTTGTCTCATCTGCTCTTCGACAGCAATTAAAGTGGTTGCTTCTTCAAAATGGGAGTGGAATTGAAATGGAAATTGTGTGTTGTGGGTTGCACGCAGTTTCTGACACTATTTCCTTGATGGATTTTTTTTTGTAGGATTCAATTTTCAAAAGTGAGTGAGTGATATGCACCTCCCTCAATTACTTTACTTTTCGACATCTGTACATGTGTGCATACATTGTGGATAAAGTAACACGGAGAAAATCAATTAGTGAAACTCGCGAGTAACGAAGAAAGTAAATGTAACAGTGTGGGATGTAAATATTTGTACGTACCACTGTCAAAATCAATACACCCATCGTACACAGAATGAATGTGATTGATTGGGCATGGAAAGTGTATCATCAGCTATCTGTTTATTTAGATTACGCAATGCAGAGAAACATATGAAATAAAAATAATTTTCCAATTTCAATACATATATTTCTGGAAATTCTTAAATGTGAAATATATTAGGGTGATTATGACAAAGGAAAAATGGAGTTAAACACCTTGATTCGAAGTAAATATTTGCTACATGCAACTAATTAATCAGCTAATCGTTATGCAATGCATATGCAGTGGATAGTTTAACCTTTAAACCACAATTCTCATGCAAATTTCAAACATGACCTAATTGACCCTCCACTTTAATTCTTCTCACATTCATAACGAGGTCCAGCTACTACTTTAAATTGGAGATTTTATAAAAAAGAAGGCGGCAAGAGTCCAAGTCACTTATCGTCGTTAGTTGGGGAGGAACATGAAGTATGCATTTTGTTGATATGTACTCAAATGCGGGATTACTTTTCACTTATTAAAGTAAACATGACAAGTTGGACAGAGCTCAATTCAAATATTAGTTAGGAAGATTAACAACCACAACTCTTTGGGGAAATAGTTGTTGTGGTTGCTGGACATCATAGGGAAGTTGAGACCACAGTCGACTGACGATACGAGAAGTCGAAGACCATATTGCAGGTGGAGAATAATAAGGATCAAATAAGCAGGCAAGTTGTTAGTGCAAGTGGGTTCACGTCCTATTAGCGTTGGGAGGAGGAGAAGAGAGAAATAATAATCCATACAAATCACGCTTGATGTCAACTTCGATCAAAGTTGAAAGCCGCATGTCCGTCCTTTGCTAAGTACTTTAATTTAATAGCGATGCTTCACTTCTCAACCAAAAGCAAAAGCCAACAATTCACCGGCGGCCAGGCAGGCAAGTCAGGTATTCCGTACGTAAGGAGCATATTCATATTAACCTAATACACTGAGTAATGAATCATTTTTGACGAATATGAATGATCATCTGGTCAACCTATACCTTCTTCAGAAACAAGAATTCACAACGAAATGTGTGAGATCCGTGTGTATCATGCACTCCATCATTTGCCATCAAAATCTTGCATGAACTGGTCAAAGGAATTATTTAATAAGTCAAGTATGAAATTTACCGAGTTTTTGCAGCAGCCACAGTTTTGACGTGGATCTATTAGCTCATTATTATTATTGGCATAATGGAAAAATTGAAGTTTGCATACATTCCCCTTACACGCGGATGTATGACCTGATGCTAAATTAATTAGCATTTCTGCTCATCTTCAGTTTTGTAAATTTCTTTAACGCTGCAAATACGTATTTATCATCGTTCAGGTCACTCATTTACTCGCCAAGGATAAAATCAATCATACGGATGCGATCGACCTGAGGCCAATTTTCTGGTAAATGTATATCCACATCCACCCAACTACATACGAGTATAATGATGGCAACGCAGTCAAAGAAGCCGACAATGGATGGAAGATCCTTAGAAAGCAAGTGCATATCGAAAAGTCTAGTAAAAAGCCAAACTAAAAGTGTTCATATCCATCTATCCATCTCAAACCCTTAATGCCATCAAAAACTTTGTTGCATCCTTGAAACCTTTGGTATTTTGGGGTTAAGCCCTTAAATTCCGATCAAGATCCTTTAGTGGGACGTTTATTTCATCTTGCTTGTACGCTAAACATTCGTTATGTTACATTATTTTAGAACATTTTTAGTTCCATTGAATCGTAATTCGTAAAAAATTGGAAAATCTCAAATTAACAAAGCAGTTGTTAAATGAGTCCAATATCGCCGTTATTGTCTTTATTACCGAGTAACGTAACGCAG